GCTACCAATTGTCCCTTTGTGTCAACTTTTGGTATATGTGGATAAATATTCACTAAGATCATACCTGACAAACTCACGACACTTGTGACCAAAATGTCATACCTGAACTCAGGTTTCTAGAGAGGAGACTAATATATTAAATCCTTGCTCCGCTGTCAAGTGCTCTAGGATCTTGCTTTCTTTATAGCTCTTGATTCCTAAAGCAAATGGCCTGGCTGGAATAGAAGTAGTCACGTTTATGTGCCAGGGAGATTGTGAGTGTAGTGTCCAAGTCCATTACCAATTCAATGGTTTTAGTCATGGAAAAAAAAGTCACTGGTACTTTGGATTATATTTGCAGCTGCTGCAAAACCTCTATTGTTGATCATTCATGAAATATTGTGATCTCTGTGTTGGAGTGTATAATCTTCTGAGAGGGATGAGCAGGGCATGGGCAGGGGTAGTGGAATGTGAGTGTTATGCAAAAGAAGCGGGAGAGTTGGCTGGTGTGGGGACCACTGGAATCCAAAAAAGAGCTGTGCCTAAAACCTGAAAAGACAGGTCTGTGTGATTTATGTTGCGGTCATGGTCAGCTTTCCCAATGCAAGCCCTGCTGGGGTTTTGTTTGGATCATACCAATGCATTCCTTTAGGCTGTGGGATTGGAGGCCCTGGGGCAGTGCCAGACCCTCTGCTCATTCTCACAGAAGGGAACCTGTGAAAAGAGCTGACATGGAGCAGGAGACTGGGAGGAAGATAGTATGAACAGCCTCCTTTCCATTTCAGCGGCTTGATTTTCTTTAACCCCTTTGGTTCTGATCCATGACTTGTAGGTACATCCTCCAAGCACCCTCCTTCAGAGTAGCCTCAAGTGCCTTGTGTCCTGATAATGCGTTCATATTGCTGTTTGGGCAATGATGAGGTAGCTCTGACATGAAGTGCCCGCCCCAACTCCTGGATTTATCGTGTGTTTTCCCTATTGCAAGTACCTCCACCCCGTAAGAATTGCAGGATTAGTGTGACTTTGGAGTGCTAGGGTGCCAGTGACACACTATGGATGCCCTGGGTCTGGTTAGCAGCAGCATGGCTGTGGGTCAGAGGCACTTGGCTGAGTCATATGTTGCTCATGGCTCCAGTGAAGGGTGGAAGAGCAGGCTTCTGTTGGAGCACAGAACATGTCAGAAGTACATTTAATTTATAATCTAGTGACGAATGTTCTCTGGATTCTTAATATTTGTTTTTTCTTCTCTGAGGGCCTCCAATCTCTTTCATAACCAGAGAGATATTCCCCATCCCCTTCCCTTAAGGTACACATTGTATCAGCCTTGCTTCCAGGGGATGAGGTCAATATATGCAACTTCTCCTGAGCCGGTAAATGCCCCTCTGTGTATTAGCCAGAGGACATCACTGAAGTGTGATTAAAAGGGTTCTCTTCCTCTACAGGCACTGGCCCTCTATAGGGCTCACAGCCTTGAACTGGTCCAGGAGCGAGGCACCCAAACTTGGGTCTCCTTTGATGTCTCAAGGCTAGTAGGCTGGCCCCTGTTGGATTCTGTTTCCACCATTTATATGTGACACACTGAACGTTACTGAGAGCTGCCCTTGTTGTCAGCAGTGAAAACGAGCACTTCCCCACTCACATGGTCAGGGCCGGCTCTGGCTTTTTTGCCGCCCCGGGGGGGGAGGGTGGCCGGAGCCCTGGGAGGAGGGCGGCGAGCCCCGGCGGGGGCTCCTCTCTCCCCCCGGCGGTCGGGGGGGAGGGGGCCGGGGGGGGGGAGGGCGGCAAGCCCGGACGTGGCCCCGCTCTCCCCGGGGGCCGGAGTGCCGCGCCGCCCCCCTCCAGGTGCCGCCCCAAGCACCAGCTTGGTGGGCTGGTGCCTGGAGCCGGCCCTGCACATGGTGCAGGTGTCTGAGAGAGAAGAAAGGGAAAGGCTGCCGCAGAGCAGAGAAGCATGAGGGATAAACAGGGGAAGGACAAAATCTGGAAGAAAATAATCATTTTCAGGCTTCTAAGAGGGTATGGCAAACTGTGTGGAGTGGAAATAATGGTAGTGAAGTAGCTGGCGGTAATATTTTACATAAGAATGGCCACACTGAGTCAGACTAATGGGGCTTCTAAGAGGGTATGGCAAACTGTGTGGAGTGGAAGTAGTGGTAGTGAAGTAGTTGGCAGTGATATTTTACATAAGAAGGGCCACACTGGTTCAGACTAATAGTCCGTCTAGCCCAGTATCCTGTGTTCTGACAGTGATTGGTGCCAGATACTTCAGAGGGAATGAATAGAAGAGGGCAATTATCAAGTGATCCATCCCCTGTTTTCACTTCTGGTAGTCAGAGGCACCCAGATCATGGGGTTGCATCCCTGACCATCTTGGCTAATAGCCATTATGAAATTATCTAATTCTTTTTTAAAACCACTTATACTTTTGGCTTCACAACATCCCCTGGCAATGAATTTCACAGGTTGACTGCATTATGTGAAGAAATACTTCCTTATGTTTGTTTTAAACCTGTTGCCTATTAATTTCCTTGGGTGACCCTTGGTTCTTTTGTTATGTGAAGGGGCAAATAACACTTCCTTATTCACTTGTTCCAAACCATTCAGGATTTTATAGACCTCCATCATATCCCCCCTTAGGGTATGTCTACACTACAGGATTAATCCGAATTTAGATAATTCGAATTTGGGAAACAGGTTGTATAAATTCGATTGTGCGCGGCCACACTAAGCACCTTAATTCGGTTTTAAACCACATTAATTCGGTGGTGTGCGGCCACACTACCCCATTAACTTAAACACAGTAATTCGGTGGTGTGCGTCCACACTAACCCTAATTCGAATTAACAAAATCGATTTAGGCTCTACTCCGTTCGTCGAGGTGGAGTACAGAAATCGATTTAAAGGGCCCTTTAATTCGAATTAACTGGCTCTGTAGTGTGGACGGGTGAAGGGTTAATTCGGATTAAGGCAGCTAAATCCGAATTAAAGTCCTAGTGTAGACCAGGCCTCAGTCATCTCTTTTCTAAGCCAAAGCGTCCCAGTCTTTTTAATCTCTTCTCATATGGAAGCTGATCCAAACCCCTAATCATTTTTGTTGCTCTTCTCTGTACTTTTTCTAGTTCTAATAAACCTTTTTTGAGATGGGGCGATGAGAACTGCATGTGGTATTCAAGATGTGGGCATACCATGGATTTATATAGTGGCATTATGATATTTTCTGTCTTATTATTGATCCATTTCCTAATGGTTCCTATCATTCTGTTAGTGTTTTTTGTTTGTTTTGTTTTGCTGCTGCTGCACATTGAGTGGATGTTTTCAGAGAACTATCCACAATGACTCCAAAATCTTTCATGAGTGGAAACAGTTAATTTAGACCTCATCATTTTGTGCGTATAGTTGAGATTATGTTTTCCAATATGCATTACTTTGCATTTATCAACATTGAATTTTATCTGCCATTTTCTTGCCCAATCACCCACTTTTGTGAGATCCTTTTGTAACACTTCCCAGACTGCTTTGGGCTTGACTATCTTAAGTAATTTTGTATCATCTGCAAACGTTGCCACCTTGCTGTTTGCCCCTTTTTCCAGATCATTTTTGAATATGTTTAATAGCACTGATCCTACTACAGATCCTTGGGGGAGCCCACTATTTGCCTCTCACATTGTGAAAAATGACAATATATTCCTACCTTTGTTTCCTATCTTTTAACTTGTTACTGACCCATGAGAGGACCTTTCCTCTTATCCCATGACTGCTTACTTTGCTTAAGAGCCTTTGGTGTGGGACCTTATCAAAGACTTTCTGAAAGTCCAAGTACAGTAACTCCTCACTTAATGTTGTAGTTATGTTCCTGGAAAATGCGACTTTAAGTGAAACGATGTTAAGCGAATCCAATTTCCCCATAAGAATGAATGTAAATGAGGGGGTTAGGTTCCAGGGAATTTTTTTTTCACTAGACAAAAGACTATATATATATAGTCACACACACACACACAGTACAAGTTTTAAACAAAGAATTTAATACTGGTACACAGTGATGATGATTGTGAAGCTTGGTTGAGGTGGAGGAGTCAGAGAGTGGGATATTTCCCTTACTGCTAAATGATGAACTAGCAATTGGCTGAGCCCTCAGGGGTTAACTCTCTCACTCTGCAAGGCAGCAGGAATGGAGGGAGGGGAGACAATTGCAGAGACACACGGTATGTGTAAGAGAGAGAGATGCGCATTTCCCCTTTAAGTACACTGCCTTGTTAATTAGATCAGCTTGCTGAGACCACAGCTGCTGCCAGCAAGCTCCCTCCATCCTGAGCCCTGTTGTCTATCCCCCCTGCTCTATGAAAGATGGGGTAAGCGGGGTGCAGGAGCAGGGGGGAGGGGGACACCCTGACATTAGCCCCCCTCTTCTTTCCCTCCCCCCTGCACAGCAAGCAGGAGTCTCAGGGAGCAGCTCCAAGGCAGAGGGCAGGAGCAGCACATGGCAGTGGGGGGAGGGACAGCTGAACTGCAGGCAGCTGCTGCACAGGGAACTTAGGGGAGCGGGGAGCTGATAGGGGGGCTGTCGTTCCACCCTGGTTCCAAGCCCCCACCAGCTAGCTGCAACGGGCTGCTCTTCCTGCAAGCAGTAGACAAAGCAGGCGGCTGCCAACCGACATTAGAAGGGGGCATTGCACAACTTTAAACGAGCATGTTCCCTAATTGATCAGCAACGTAACAACAAAACAGTGTTAACCGGGACGACTTTAAGTGAGGAATTACTGTACACTGTATCCACGGGATCACCCTTGTCTTATCCACATGCTTGTTGACACCCTTAAAGAATTCGAATAGATTGGTGAGGCATGATTTCCCTTTACAAAAGGCATGTTGACCCTTCCCCAACGTATTATGTACATGTATGTGTCTGATCATTCTTAAATAAAGAGCTTATTGGTTTAGACTCTGGTTACGCTAGTGGAAGCATTTGTGGAGCATGCTCTGTAGGAGTAACTGTTTTCCTGACTCTCTCTCTTTCCTTGCAGGAATTGAGTACGGCGATGTACTTCCAGATTCCTTCCCATCAGCCCCTGCAGAGACCCTCCCCCATTTCCTACTGGAGCCACAAGATGCATACATTGTAAAGAACAAACCTGTGGAGCTGATCTGCAGAGCCAACCCAGCCACTCAGATTTACTTCAAGTGCAATGGCGAGTGGGTCAATCAGAATGACCATCTCACTAAGGAGAGCCTGGATGAGGTGACTGGTAAGAAACCATTGCAGACCCGACTCTCTTTTTACCCCGTTCCTCCCCTCCCCCCCCTTCTCTTTCTTTGCTGACTTTCTCTCTCCTCTGCCACTTCATCTGTCTACTCCCTCTCTCTTTTTAAGGCTCTGTAGTGTACAACACAGTGGTATTTAAAGCACATTACTGTGCAGGCATGCTTGAAAAGGAGGAATAACTGGATCCCTTTCCACTTTGGATGAGGAACAGTATTACCGCCTCCTTTCAGCGTCGCCTGACAGGATGGGTCCCCTTTAAAAGTGTTTTGTAAGCCCCTTCTCTGGTTCCACAGTCAGATTTTGCAAGTTCAAGGAAGACCTTCCCACCACGTAAGAATGAATTTCCTCTCCCTTCTTGTTGCCTACTCCATCCATACATTTGTAGACTGATATAATGCCTCCCTAGTACGCCTTGTTTGGTCAAGCTATGTGCATTTTACTTTGTCTAATTTTCCTTCAGGCCACTGAAGATTTTTGTTAGTCTTTAGTAAAGTCTGAGACTGAAGTGTCCATGTGTGAATGCAATATTGGAGGAGCATTCACACCAGAGCCAAAGAGAACAGGAGTGTGATCACCCTTCTCTGTGCTGTGAAGTGTCCTCATGTGCCACCCAAAATCAAATTGATCTTTTCTGCTGCCAGATCCTCCTGCAAGCTCATGGCTAATTTGTTGTATACTATTGCCCAGAAGTCTGTCTCAGAATTTACCACTTTCTAGTTTTCTTCCTCCCACTGTATATCTCTGTTTGAGATTATTTCCCCCAGATATATTAGCTTGTATTTTTCCAATTCATTTGATCATTTCCTGTCCATGTGGCCAAACTGTCTAGGTCACTTTTATGTGATTTCTCTGTCTTCACTGCTATTCACAGCTCTTCTCAATTTTATATTATCTGTGACTTTTAGTAGAAGAGCTGTCCCTCCAACTTTGTTGATGAGGATATTAAGTAAGACTGGACCTATCAAACTCCCTTGCGGTACCCCACTGAGAAGCAATTTATCAACATGTTAAAACAGTTGCTTCTTGGAACAGCTAGTTCTAGAGAACACAAAAGGAGACAGTGTTCCCAACTTAGTTGTATGTAACCCACAGGAGTTCAGTCAAGAAGTAGCTATAGTTGAGCCACTTAATAATAGTGACCACAATGTAATTAAGTTCAATACCCTTGTGGGAGGAATCATACCAGCATGGCTTTTTTAGATGAAAATTGTTCCTCTCCAAGCTACAAAACAGTGTTGATAAAGGAGAACTATTAGATATAATTTAGTTGGACTATCAGAAAGCACTTCACAGGAGGTGGTTGAGAAAACTAAGTAGTCGGGGTAAGGCGTAAAATACTGACATGGATTAGAAAGTGGCTGAGACAGAAACCAAGAGCAGGAATAAATGGTCAGTTTTTAGCATGGCAAAAGGTGAACAGTGGCGTGCCCCAAGGATCCATACTCGGACCTGTTCTGTTTGATCAGAGAAGGTTGGAAGATTTGTGGTTGGGATTTTTCAAGGAGCCTCAGGAAGGCCTGCAGTACCCATTCAGTTTCAATGGGATTTGGGTGCCTAACTCCCTTAGTCGCTTTTGAAAATTTCAGCCTTTGGCAAAATGCCTTTCTGATAGAAAAGTGGTGCAAAATTCTCAGCAAAAATGTCAGGTTTCAGAGTAGCAGCCATGTTAATCTGTATCCACAAAAAGAACAGGAGTACTCGTGGCACCTTATTTGAGCATAAGCTTTCGTGGACTACAGCCCACTTCACAAGGGGCCGGCAACCGGGACCCCAGACCGGAGGTGCAGGTGGGAATGTGGGGGGGGGGGGGGGGGGGGGCCCCGTTGGGGGCCCGGGGGGGGGGGGGGGGTGTGGTGGGGGGTGCAAGAGTCAGGGCATGGGGTGTGGGGGGGCTGAGTATGTGTGGGGGGGTGCAGGAGTCAGAACGGGGGCTGGAGGTGTGTGAGGGGGTTCAAGGATCAGGGCAGAGGGCTGGGGTGCTCGGCTCGTGGGGGTGCTCACAGCAGGGGGCTGGAGGGGATATGCCCCATTCCCATCCCTTTCTCTAGGGCCCCGTCCCCACCTCTTCTCTCTCCCTCCCCCTCGCAAGGGTGATCAGCTGATCGGCGGGAGGGAGAGGGAGGGGGAGGGGCAGGAAAGCACCACGCTGGGGGAAGAAGTGGGGGAGGGGGGAGCTTGGCTGCTGGCATGACCAAGCTTCTGCCTCCTGCTCCTGCAGGAGAAATCGGTGGGCAGGGGGGCTGAATGGGGCCAGGACCCCGGCAGGCAGCAGCGTGCCATCAAAAATCAGCTTGCATGCCGTCTTTGGCACATGTGCCGCAGGTTGCTGACCCCTGCTCTAACCACCAGACATTCCTTCCTCTCTAATTGAACATATTTAGTAATGGTCTGGAACAGGCTGAACAAGTAGGTGGCAAACTTTGCAGATGACACAACTTTATTTGTGATAGTCAATCTAGAGAGCTCTGAGGAATTTCAGAAGGACCTAACAAAGCTGGGTGAATGGATGGCATAATGTCAGATGAAATTCACTGTTGACAAAGACGCATTGGAAGCAACAACGTGAATTACTCACACACTTTGCTGAGTTCTAAATTAAATGGAATCACACAGGAAAAAAAGCTAGGGGTCAGCTCATTGAAAAGCTTTGTTCCGTGTGCAGTGGCAACCAAAAAAGCAAACAGTATGCTTAGAGAATAGGATAGAAAAGAATATTGAGACTTTTATAATGCCATTATATAAATCCTTGGTATCACCCTCACCTGGAATACTCTATTCAGTTTTGCCAACCCTATATCAAACAAGGTAAAGCAGAAATACAAAGGGGTTCAGAGGCTGGCAATGAAAATGATTACAGGCAGGGAAAAAAATTGGATGAAGAGAGATTGGAAAGATCAAGATTTTTGTTTAGAGAGAAAACGAACGAGAAAGGGAGATTATACAAAATAATGGCTGGTCTAAAGAAGGTAGGTCAGGCACTGGCATTTATCTTTCTCATAATCCAGGAATGAGGGGACATTTAATGAAATTGAAAGGCATTTAAAACTGATAAAAAGAAAATACACAACACATAATCAATCCGCAGGACTCATTGGTGAAGGGTATCAGAGGCCAAGAGCTTAGTCAGATTCAAAAAACAATTAGATCTTTAATGGATAGTGAGAATGTTCATAGGTAGAATTTAAAATGTATATAAGTGATATCAACTCTCTCATGCTCAGAGCATAAATCAACCAGTAGCTGCCTGGACTAGGAAAAATGTATCTTATGGGCATATTATTCCATAATTGTCCATTACTGGATTTCTTGCACTTTCTTCTGAAACCCTCGTGGTTCTGGTCACTGTCAGAGACAGGATAATGGACTGTTTGAATCATTGGTCTGATGTAATTAAATGGTTTGCTAAAATTTAAATATTTTACATCTACCCCTCTCTTCATCACTAATTTGTAACTGTGTCCTGAAAAAAAAATAACAATCAAGTTTCTCTTATAAGTTATGGGTCTGTATAAGCCCATGGATGTGGTGAAGTGATCATCACTTGAAGTCTTTAAATCAAGATGGAATATCTTTGAAAGATATGCTCTAGCTCAAACAGAAGTTACGGGGTTGATGCAAAAGTTATAGATCGGGGTTCTTTGGCCTGAGTTGTGCAGGGGATCAGACTGGATGACCATAATGGTCCCTTCTGGCCTCAAAATCTATTAATAATGTCTATTGTTCATGATCCCATTAGCCCCTAGATAATGATTTCCCCCCCAATATTTTTACCAGTACTTTACTAACAGCACAGTAATTACCAGGCTCACTCTTCTTTGTTTTTAAAATATCAGCATTATAGTTTCTTATCTCCAGGCAATCAGTACCTCCCAAAGTTTCCATTAGTTTTCAAAATCAAATGTCAGTGGTACATGACATCTGGGTCAGCTGATTTGTGCATGTTCACATTTATAAGTATTTCATTCACCTGCCTGTTATGAAGAGCTTCTTAATTGTGTCAATGTTTTCCTGTTCCATCATCCTCATATCATCACCATCTAGTTTTAACTGGGAGGTCACTCAGTTCTGTGAGTTCTTGCTTGGTTGCCTTTCCAAAACTACTCCGTAAAGGGAAGACTGTTTATTGAAACCTGAGATATTTGAGCAGTTCTTCTTGAAGCCACTTTTCCTGTTCCTTGCATTTTTCTTTTCCTGAGGATTTGCAGTCCGCTATTCCCTACTTACACTCTTCCTACAGGATTCCCCAGTCACTTTCCATTCTAGTGAATTTGAATACGCCTTCCAGTCGCACCTTATTCACTATGTCCCAGATTTTAAAAGGTATTGAGGCATTGCTGCATTCAGCATTGTAATGCCTAACTGATTTAGGAGCCAAAATCTCATTTTCAAAAGTGATTTTAGGCACTTAGGAGCCAAAATTCCATTGATAAGCAATGGGATTAGGATACCTAAGGGTATAAATCACTTTTGAAAATGGAATTTAGGCTCCTAAATTAGTTAGGCATTACAATGCTGAGTGCAGGAATGCGCGAATACCTTTAAAAATCTGAGCCTAGATTTCCTAATAAATGCACTCAAGATTCCTTACTTATCTTGCATGCCGTCTTTACAAGTTGCAGGTCAGACCCATAAAAATTAGGATAGTTGTGCCAATTTTGGGATGGGTGGCTGCTTTGAAGGGAGGTACATCACAAGTCAGACATCTCGTTTAACCCCTCTCCTTCTGGATTCATGCAGGGCAGCTGTCTCCCCCAGCTGGGGATTACCAGGAGAAGGTGTGTGGGGATGAAGTAGAGTTGTTGTTCTATCATAAGTGATGAGTGATTGTAGGAAGGAAAAATGCTTGTTCCTGAGCAGTTAGTTTTTGTTCTTGTTTGCGGTGTTCAGTTTTCTATCTAGAATGAACGTATAACTATAATTAAAGTGTCCATTAAAGAAATGTGTGCTGCACTGTTGAACTTCTGCAAAAGTCCATATGAATTG